TTTTTTTTTGTCCTCAGTCACATCAATTGGGGCAGAATCTCAGGGGAGCAACCGTCACACAAGTCCCAGAAACACTGTACAGAGCCAAGCAGATGTACTCTACTGAGAGCTTTTCAAGGTAAAGCCAAGAACAAGACTGTTAGGCCTACTTCTGCTGTAACACACATCATACAGGACACCTCTCCATTTCCATATGAAACTAATTGGGCTCCTGGTAGAAACCTCCTGAACCATGAACATTGAAGGAATCCTAACAGAGAAGCTGACTGTAATGACGGCAATGGTCGTGAAGACAACAACACCCAAAATGTCACCCTACTTCACGACTTCATCAAACTTGGCCTTTTGTTATTGTTTTGATGTGAGACAGAAATTACATATTGTACATTTAATACTGCTTCCATCCTTGATACATCCTGATTTATGTATTTGTCTAGTTTTGCAATGTCCAGTTTGTAACATTTAGGAGGATCTATTAGCAGAAATGTGCATAGGTATGTTTCATTAGTGTATAATCTCTTGAAAATAAGAATCCTGTTTTTGTTACCTTAGAATGAGTCATTTTTACCTAGAGGCGTCTTCTACAGAGTCTGTCAAGTTGAACCACCATGTTTCTACAGTAGCCCAGAATGGACAAGCACACACTGAGTAAATTTTATTTGTTAATGGAGACCGTGTGACACAGTCAGCAGCCAGAAGCGAGTAAGTGGAAATTAAGTGGAGATAGTTTTGCCAGGGTTTCTTGCCATTTAAACATCATATCCTGAATAGGATGAAAATTAGGATAAGACACACAACCTCTTGCATGTAAACACACACATAGATTAGGGTTTGCTTTAAGGATATAATAAATTATTTACATTTCAGATATTTCAGCTGTTTCTGAGTGTTTTGGTTTTGTTAAAAGGGCAATGGCCCATTAATACATCAACATCAAAGCATCTTCAAATTGATTTAATCCCCTATTAAAACCTGCAAAACTCAGCAAACGTCTGCTCTTATTTTAGCTGCCTGATTCTAGTTTGAGGACTGCATACCAACACACAGGGTCAAGGCTGAAATAACCTTAATTAAGTCCAACGCATACAACCCCAACGCCTCCTGAACACAGCAGCACCCCTAACATCTTCAACTTACAACAAATCACATCACTTTCAATTAATAGCACATTTGATATTTGACTTCAAATGCTTACATTTAAGTGAAGATACAACAGTGGGCGCTTGACATCTAAATATAATAACCACAGTGGGAGTAACTCGTTATTTATTTGGTATATATTTATGGGACTGTTCTGATAAATCAGATTGAAAGCATCTTGATTTTTTCTTTTCTTTGGCTTGGAGAAAATTTTAATTAGGAGAGATGTCAGTTTCTGCTTAATAGAATTAAGTTACAGCAACATTAAGATTCTTCTTGGCACAAAGGCGTTTCCATATGACTGGCTGGAACATACATGCATGCACCCTTGGATTTAAGTCAAGTTTAATTATAGCAAAGTACCACATCCAGTCTCCTGGCCTGCAGCAGTTCATGAACCATCACAAGCTCTCCAGTAAGTGAAATATTAACACAAGTACTAAATGATCTAAATATGCTCTGTTGGAAGTGATGCATTCAGCATTTTATTAGTGAAGTGAGGATTGTTGGGATATAAACAAAATTGTGCTCACCAGAAAAGTGACAGCATTGGCTTTAAGGACCAATTTTCACTTTCCTAACAAGCAATCAGAGTTACTGCTGCTATATCAAAGAAGCAAAGGCAGAACTAAGGAGTAAAAGTTGCAAATGTCTCAGGGAGGAGGTCCAGTCAAAGTGTGAGACATTGGCACCACAAATTGTAACTTCTCCTGACGACAGTCAACTGATTTCTGGATTGCTCCTTAACTTTAATCAAGTAGCCAAACCTCAACCATACAGGTGGCAGATCAGAAAAGCAACACTTTTGTATGATATTTGTGATGATTATATGCATTTGGGTAGGCACTGACAAACAATGAATGCGCAGTGAATTTCATGCTGGTGCAAGGAACTGTGAGATGGTAGGATATTTTTTTTGAAACAATGGTTCTATGTTTCCCTGCCTAAAGGAGAAAGGATACAAAGCACTCCTGTAACATTTAAAGGGACACTTCACCCATTTGCATTAAGCTTTGTATCGTTAGAAACCCAGTCATATTTTTGAATGGTCGTGCACCATTCCCGAGACGGGAAAATACGGATTTCAGTGTTGCACATTCCTGCTTCAATGAGTAAAAATCGTCATTTTGCATCACTGGAAGCAGGGAAGTCTCATGATCTTTGTTACGAAGGGAAGGGATGAGAACTAACAGGATACAGACATGAGACTACAAACACTCTTTTCTCGGTCAAATAGGCACCAAATTCAAAATTTATGTTACATTTCGACTACATATATAACCCACTTTCAATAAAGATTAATGTTTCCACGGTTGAAATGCTTCTTTAATTTCATCTATTTACAAACAGGATACATTTTGGACAAGAGCTGTGTATTGGCTAGCAATACGATACGTATCATGATACAGGGGTTACGATTCAACATCTAAAAAAACAAATTTTAGGAAAAACTGGTTTAAAGAACACACCACTATATACATAAAATCTGAGTTCGAAAAGCTGACTTTTGGGCACCATGGTGGCTCACCTGGTGGAGCAAATATGACAAAAACTTACTTTTATATAACTTACCTACTGCAGCTTTAACGTCGGTCACAGCGGCGGTACTTGGAGAAAAGTATATGCAGACGTGGATCCTGAGACGAGCTCTACCAGTTTTAGTTTCTCCTTGTGGACTTCTTATAATTAGTTCTAAAAAGATCTTACTGATGTGGTCTGGCTTTGCGAGGTCAGCAGGTCAGCAGATGTCACAACACCTAGCCTCATTGCTATGCTGTATATTTTATTCTATTCTGAGTTCAATAAAAGTAGTCTAATGAAATTCACAGCTCCAGCTGACTGCAGACGGGGTTCTTTGATGTTTCTGGTGCTGAAGTAGGATGCAGTATCAGAACTATGAAGGAATGAGTGCAATAGAAATGTATTACCCGCCGACTGATAAAAAATCTCTGTGTCCTTTTTATCTTTCCTTTCTCAGGTTCAGAGGAGACACTGATCCACATAAGCTCCTGGAAGACCCGGTTGTTGCAGATATAGCCAAGAGGCACAGGCACAGCCCTGCACAGGTCAGTGTGAGTGTGTGCGCTGTAAATGTTTGTGTGTATTTCTTTGTTAGTAAAAGTGGTATATTCTCCCAGGTACTGCTGAGGTACCATGTGCAGCAGGGCATTGCGGTCATCCCTAAGAGTGACAAGCCTCATCACATCCTGGAAAACACAAAGGTGAAACCTCTCCACCGCTCCTCGTCTAGACGTTTTCTATCTCTCAGGCTCACTCCTTTGAACGGCACACTTTCTTTAGTGCTCACTTTACTGCTTTGTGATAGCAGTGTAATTAGACATTGTTCACTTCCCACAGATTGTGGATGTTTGCATTATTTGGTTGCTTTTGGGAAACTGCAGAATGTCACTTCCACCTACATGCAGCTATTGCCCAACAGAGCTCCTACTTCCAACCAATTCATATTTATTTTATTTGTATTTTTATATATGCACATATTTAAAACTGCATTCATACCAAGGCTGAGTCCTTGCTGCTGCAGCTGGGTTTGAATCCAACCTGTGGTCCTTTGCTGTGTGTCATATACTGTATGTAAAAAGTATAACAACAATGGGCTGGATGAGGAGTCCAGGGATCACCAAAGTTATTACACTGGGGAACACATTTAACGGCAATCCAACCAATAGAATAATGCCAGAGCTGTACTATCATTCAGCACAAAAAGCGTTATCATGGAATATGTGATGTATTAGGACTATGAGCATCAGTGTGTCTGTAAAAGCAAGATGTCAAAATCTGTTTCTGTTTTGTGCAGATCTTTGACTTCAGCCTGACTGAAGAAGACATTAGAGCACTGAGAGGACTGGACCGAGGCTGGAGGTCCTGCGTGCTTGAAGAGTAAGTCACTACAGCCATTCTGGTAATAGTCGTCCGCAAGGTGCAGCTATTTCCACACTGATGACTGTTTGTCTGTTTCTCAGAGTCAAGTCTCATCCGTACTACCCCTTTGTATGAAGCTGCCAGGAGAGAGAAGAGAGAAACTACTACTAATGCCATACACATCAACAGGACCAGCTACAGTATCACACTGTAATCCATTAGTGACTTGTTTACCAAATAATGATGAAATGTGAAGATGGAGACAAATCTGAAGATTCTGTCTCCAAATGTGAATGTACTAAATGTGACCAACACGTATCAGAGCTTTTCTATTGCCCTGAAAACTGAGATGATTACTTTTCTAATATTTTCCTGTTTCCTATATGTTTTGATTTTGATTAATTTGATAAGTTAAGATTTACAAATGCACAGTCAAACAAATAACTCTGAAACACTTATTTTATTACAATACTGAGCACATTATAATCACACTCATCACACTTACTGTATGTGTGTTAAGGTAGGCATTTCAGGATGAACCTTGGAAAAGCATTAAGCCTCTCAGGGCTTCCGTAATGTAACATTTTCTCTGTGAGGATTTGTGCTTTGGTGTGTGACAGGCGATGCTTTCCAGTGTGCAGATAAGTTTAAATCTGTCTATATACTTATAAAATAACACAAATAATCAAGAATGATGTACTTTGTACTCTAGAGGCAGTGCTTAGAGACAATGACAATTCTACTGCTTTTAGTCCTGCAAAGCGGACAGTCCTTGGAACTGGAATGAGGAATCTGAGGGTGTCTTGGAATTTGGCGCACCACGGTGGTCACCTGACCCAATATCTAACAGAGAAAGAGCAACACAATCGACTCAGGCATTCAGTGTGTTAATCAACTACAGTTCTTGTAGGAAATGCTTATCAAACGAAAGCACAGTGAATTATTTTATCTTTCCCATCCCTCTTACATCAGTAGCAACTATTGAAACAACTGGTTCTTGATTTCAGACAGAAGAAGACAAAAGCAGCTTATTGTTGCTATTCGCTGCTGTTTTGCTAGCTGTAATGACAAATGTCCCTGGCACTGGTTTTAAAACAAGTAGACTGCAAGAGGAGTCTTAAATATGTTCTTAATGGGTTTATAACATCATATTGTGCTAAAAGACCGAGGTTTAAGCTGCACGCCCCAGGCCGAAAGTCAGCATCCTCACTGTATGATCCATGTGGAAGACATGGAAATAAAGCATTAGTCTTATTTTACAGTGTTAGTGGCCAGTGACAGAGATACAGCGCTACAGGTTTGTAGAGCGGCATCGTGCTCAACCAGGTGATCAAATATGATCAACAGAAAAAATGTATTGAAGCACACATTAAGCTCTATATGAGTGAACTCATTTCAAAGAGGTGAAGGTTAGGGCGTCTCTTTGAAACATCACAATCTGCTGTTCTGTCCATTATGTGTAGATTCTTTTGGCTTCTGGTTTGAAGAAAAATATTAAATTAATATTTAAAACCAAAGTAAAGATGTATGCTGGTTAAGAGTTGTTGCAAAGTGTTTAACAGTTCCAAACTATCAGCAATGTACAAAAGAATCTGCAGGTATACCCAGTTTTAACACAACCTTCCTGGTGGCTGGATTTATTCACAGCACAGACTAGAGTGCAAGACTACAACTCCCACGCTTAAATCTTGAGCTTAATCTTTCAAGTTAACACTTAATATCAACCCATCATTCAGCCTCCGAGCTTCTACAAGCTCTCATTTCCTGACTTTAAAAAGACAAGAAAAGACATCTGAATGCAAAAGCATACTGTTGCATCTACGTTACCAAGGAGACAAAAATGATTGCTGTCTTCAGATGATATCTAACTGAATGCTTATGCAACACAAAGACTGTGCATCATATAATGTAACTGTTGTCAACATACACTTATTAGTTGTTATTTGCTAAAGAAAATTGTTAATTCAGTGTTCATCATTATCGCTCCTCCTCTTCCTTCCTGTGATGCTGCAGTGCCTCTGGGCAAAATTATTCTGATACTAAATATCTTCTATTGAAGAGTTAGTATCAGAAGTACACCAAGCTCTGCCAAAAGTCAGGCCTTATCTTTGCACCAACAGAAGGACCTTCAACACTGTTACGTGGGGTGTGACATTCCTTTCATCCCTCGTCCCATCTTCTTCCTCTCCGAAGAGGGAGATGATTGTGAGGGTTTCACAGTGCACACACAAGCTGAGGCCCCTGCGATGCGTTTCGGCAGGTCTGGCCCTCTGGACCATGAGCCCTTATCAGGGTTGTACACCTGAGTGGCTCTGGAGAATGCCATACTCTCCCAGCTGTAGCCCCCAAGCACATAGATCCTCCCTGCCCAGACTGCGAGCCCTGCCTCACTGTTAGGCAGCAGCAGTGGCGCCACCCGGGTCCACTGGCCACTGTGCGGGTCGTAGGACTCCACCTGCAGGATGTCAAAGCGCTCTGTGGTGTCCTCGTGGTCATTGCTGCCCCCAATGGCATAGATGAGGTGGTTGAGGGAGGCCATGCAGTGCCAGCCCCGGGCCAGAGACATGGCCTGGCATTCCACCCAAACGTCACTGTCCCGTGATGGATCATAACTCAGGACATCTCGGCGGTATGGGCCGATCTGATAGTCGTGACCACCTGAGATGTAGACTATGCCGTCGAGGACTGTCCCAGCATGGCCGTAAGTACAGCTACAAAAGACAGAATTCAAAAAGCCAAACTGTTTAATAGCTTAAGAAAAAATGTAACAACTATGATAAAAAAACAAAAAGCTGCCATAAAATAAATAGGTACTCAAATAAAGAAAATATAATAAAGACTAAATGTGTACAGCCATGCTAGCAGCCCTATGAGGCCACAATGAGAGCAGGCCATACTTTGGCCTTATGTCAAGCTCCCACCCCCTTTTCGGGTGAAAACAGCCCCTTTAATTTGTCTTTGCCAACTTCATACGATAAAATAAGAATACCATATTGCAGTAGTAACGTGCGTTCCTACCTGGGCAGTTCTGCCACGTAGGACCAGCAGTCCTCAGCGGGACGATAAACCTCCACAGAGGACAAAGCTCCATTGTCATTTCTCCCACCCACGGCAATCAGGCACTCTCCAACTACCCCCAGGTAGAAATCCACTCGCCGCTGATTCATTGGAGCACCCTGGAAAAACACAGTCACACTGTAACTGCTAAAAGACTACAAATGAACAAAGTGTGAACAAAAAAATAAATACATAATGAAATCCTTCACTGGATATTCTGGCACTTTCGTTAAGATGAACATCCAAATCTGCATCTTCTGTATATGCTGCGGACCTGTAATTGATAAGGAGAATAGAAGTGGCTCTTTGCTACAGTACCTTGGTCCACTGGTTGTGGCGGGGGTCGTATCTGTACAGCAGGTTACAGGCTGCGTCACCACCATTGTCCCTGGACGAGCTGCCGCCAGCAGCGAAGATAAAGCCCCCCAGGACTGCCAGGCAGTGGTGGCTCCGCTGGGCCGGCAGCTCGGTTTCCACCTCCCAGCTTCCTGTTTCACCGTCCAGTCGGCAAACATTGGCACTCAGCTCCTCTCCACGTTCTGACACCTAGAGAAGTAAAGAGAGGAGGTTACAGGAATCTAGTGAGATTCTGGTCTTGTTTTTTTTTTATATATATTTTTGGGGGAGCTTTTATTGGTGTTAATTGATAGTGACGGCTGAAGACTGACAGGAAAAGTGGGGAGAGAGTGGGGGACACGCAGCAAAGGGCCGCAGGTCGGAGTTGAACGCCTGGCCACTGAAGCAAGGACTACACCAGCTCTTACAGGTCAGCTCTGTTCTGCTGAGTTTAAATGTCAGGATCAGTCTTTAATGGCCACAGTCAAATCAAGTCTCAAGTCAAGAAGAGATGTCCCAATTCTTACAAAGGATGTGCATGGTTAGTTGGTTAGATGTTGCTACTGGTTAACTGTTGTGTCTTAATGCAGCTCCCCATCTCCCTGCTGGTATAGTCATTATATTTGGTTAATGCGGTCCGCTTTGGGATTCTACACGGGCAATCTCACTCTCTACCCATCTAACCTACCACAACAAATCGGTTAGACATGGCACTATTCAGGGGGAAGGATATACTGGGGTATCTAATAGAGTAAGTTGTGAAGCCTGGCTGTGTGTGGCTGTCTTTAAATTGTGCTATATTTGGACTGTTTTCTGCATGTTTTCTTACTTTAAGACTACGCAATTAAAATTTTTCTTTAATCTGCAGCAACATTAGATACCAAGAACATCCCCAATTCTTACAATAGAAAGTCTCAAATTAAAGTTGTATGGCTGTGTAAGGCCTGTGAATCTCTATCTTATTTATTTTATCTGGTTATGACATATTACCAGGTAAAAACTTGACAACTTACATATATTTGTTTCAAAGTTAAGTCTTTAGTCCAATCCAAGTCTTCAATTAACGTCCAAGAATGTTATCCACTCAAGTCCAAATCAAATTCTTAATTTTTGACTCAGTGTCCTTAGTGTACCGGAGAGTTTTTCACTTAGGCTGTAATATTTAACAATTTCTGTGATTTTTTAAATATCAAAAGAGTGGCACTTTCATTTAACAGTAAACTTTTATCTGATTTACATCTCTACCTCTCCTCCAATCAGCAGGAGCCGCTCTACTCCCTCCCTCAGCGTGGTGCGTCCTGTTTGCAGGAGCGGCTGGGCGCTGGGCCTGGCGTGATACGCCAGAGATTCCTCCACCAGGGCCTCACATCCAGCCTCCGCCGGCAGTAAGGCCCGCACCGCCGGCAGCACCCGTCCCACGAGGTCCCCCATCGGCATCAGAGGGAAGCGGATGTGGGAGAGCAGGTGCCTGGCGTGAACGGTACGCTCGGGACTGTGGCTGAGCCACTGCAGGGCGGCCTGGAGGAGCGCTTGCTCACTGTCATGCTGAACCTGATAATGGAGAGATTACTTATGGCGGCTTCTTACGATGTCACTGCTGTGTTCAAGGTGAAGAATAAACCCTCAATCTCAGCGTATAAACAATATTTACCTGGCCACTGGAGAGGTAAGAGGTGAGTTTGTGTAAAGGAATGTCCCGAAGGAAATCAGGGGTGAAGGAGAGTGTGGCGAAGCGTGCAAGGATAAAATTGTCGATGAATGTGTTGAGACGCTCCAGACTGTAGAGCAGAGCCAGCTCCTGCAGGTACAGGTAGTTGTCCTCACTCACCTCCCTCTCCAGGTACTGGCAGCAGAAATCCACCACACGCCACACCTGAACAACAGCAGCTTTCTACATCACATTTGACTTTTCTTAACATCTTAAAGGGTTCAGTGTGTAACATTTAGGAGGATCTATTGGCAGAAATGTAATATAACATTCATAGGTTTGTTTTCATTTGTGTATAATAATGATAAAAGTTGTTTACTTTCACACTTATGGGTTTTGTTCTGATTCAAAGCCTGTACATTTAACATCAGGTGCTGAACAGAAAATGCATAAAGTTTCTTACCTGCAGGAGGTGGGCAGCTTCCAGCACATAGTCAATGTTTCCTCCATCCAATGGCAGCTCTCCACTGTACAGGAAGTCCACTACAGCCGTCAGACCGATGTAGGACATCCCAACCAGCTGGACCTGCAGACAGAAAGAGGACAAAAGAGTTTCATCAGTAGTCAGACATATGCTAGGCATTAATAATAATTTGAATAGTAACGATAATAAATATGCAAAATGAGACAGAAAATAAATAAGATGAGAATAATGTAGAAAAACACAATAAGTAAGGGAAATGAAACAGCAGCCTCCTATGTACCTCCTCCTGGCGTTCCTCCCTCATGCCCAAGGTGAACATAGAGTAGAAGTACGGGCTGGAGACAGCCAGCAGGGCTCGATGCGCGGGGAGCCGCTGGTCGTCGGCCACCAGCACCACATCACAGAACTGGCTGTGCTGCCGCTGCTCATTGAGGCCCTGCAACACCTCCAAACCTTGTTCCACGCAGCGGAACACCTGCCAACACAACAACACAATGACAACAAGACTGGCCCTGTTTACACCTGCCATCAAAACGCTTCACTGGTGATTGGATCACAAGTGGACAGCTCTACTAGACTGCTGTGACTCCAGATGTGGCTTCCACACTGCACTACACACTACACTACACACACTGATCAGAGCCAGCAACATGTTTGTGTGTGTGATTTTTTTAAATAAATGAATGAAATAGAAAAATACACTGGGTTATGCTGACTGGTACTGAAGGGAGAGAGGGGTACAGTGTGTCATTATAATGTAATATATATTTAACGCCTAATGTTTTAGATCAGACTGAATGTCTTTTAGGAGGACCAACTTCCCGAATCTCACAAAGGGGAGTGCTAACATTGTTGCACAGCAGCCACACTGACAAGTGTTTCTTTTTGTTTATCGGCCCTATGGGTGCAGACATCTGCAAATGCCCATTATCTCAAAATGCCAGATAATTAAGTTATCCTTTATTAATTCATTTGACACATTTGACACACAACACACTTCCACTACCAACACTGCTGATTTACTGGTATGCTTGATCTCCAGGGAGAAATTAAGAAGAAGAAGGAAGAAGAATTGATACTTTATTAATCCCAAATTGGGAAATTCTTTTTTAATGCAAACATCTTTTGCACACACAGGGCTTATAGACATGCAAATGTGGAGAGATGGTGGAGAGATGGTGGAGAGATGGGCTGCCACGTAGCAGCGCTCCGGGAGCAGTTAGGGTTAGGTGCCCTGCACATGAGGTCAACTGGCAAATCTCCAGTCACCAGTCCACAATCCATGGTACTGTGGTCTGTGCTGGACTTGAACTGAAGACCCTCCAGTTCACAAGCCAAGTCACTACAGACTGAGCTACTGCTGCCACTTCTAAAATGCCCATTATAAGGCTCAAATATGTCTTGCGACCACAGACAGGTTTACAAAAATGTTTTGGCCCAATTCAATTCAATTCAGTTTTATTTGTATAGCTCCAATTCATAAAAGAAGTTAGCACAGGACACTTTTCAAAGAGAGTAGGTCTATCCTGAACTCCCTATAACATTATTTACAGAGACCCAACAGTTCCCACCATGAGCAAAAGTAAGCCAATGTCCTCCCTCACATGTCATGTTCACCTCTCTGCTGTTAATGAGCCGCTCCCTTGTTGCTTGTGTTTATATGCGAGTCCAACTGTATGGTTCAGCTATCACTGTCTCACACACACATACACACACACACACACACTGACCTTGGACGATTCACTGATCCGCTGGGGCCGACACACACGGCTCATTTTTCCATTGTCCATTATGTTCCCTCAGACAGGCATCACCTAGAGGACACACACATTATGTATTACAACACTTATTAAGAACTCACCTAACCCTAACTGTACCTCATTCTTACTGAATGAATGTGGGACCAGGACAGCTACATCCTATCTGAGTACATGTAACGGGACGTGTAGATGTAGAGCACCTACTGTCCTCACCTGTCTGTGCTGGGAGGACATTTGGTCTATATTATAATTATTATACGTTAATATATATTACAACAACACACACTTTGTCTCTCACACCCGCAGTCAATGACAATACAGCATATTAAGTTCAGTCACTTTCTGCTTTAAAGCCCAGAACTCTGTCATTGTTCCAGTGACAGTGCTTACATTGGGACGTATGGTGGAGCAGCAGAAGGTATCGGGGTACACTGTGATACAGCTAACAGCATCTCTCGTTAGCGTAGAGCAGCTGCATTTCTGAAGGAAACCGTCGACATGCGACGTTTTTCAACGACGACCCAAACTGACCCGCTTCCTAAAACTCTCTGTTTTCACACAGTCTCTTCTTACAGAGACATGTTCCTGTAAATACATTGTTAGAGCACAGAAAGGGCTGCACAATGTAGCATACCGCAAGCTAGCTCGAATAAACAAATAAACCTCCGGTGTTGCTTTTCAAAATAAACTCTTTTGTCTCATGACTCCAGAACTCATAGCCAAATAAAAACATGCAAGGAGGAATAATGAGGAAAATTAAAAGACATGTGGTTAAATTTAACAAATCCCGAAACCTGACAGTGGGACAGCTTCGCGTAGCCTGTAACCTCAAACTGGATTTTTAAAGGCTCAAGAGGTTTGAATTTGAAGGATTGTTACAAAATTACTTTTGTTACATTTTGATTCATGTAAAGAAAGGACACTGCTGACAGAAACCAGTGGTCAGTCAAAATGTAACTGTTTGTGTCATTTTACTTGATAATGAAATGAAATGACATTTGCCACCTCATTTTGTCCTTTTATTTTGAAGCCGAAGCTTTTCGCGAGCTAGCTTAACGGAGCTGGCTTTAACACATCCAGGAAATAATATGCAGCTAATAGACCAATCACAACCGACTCTATGCGAGCGCATTAGAGACAGGCAATGTCACCGAACGTTTGAAAGATATGTACCTGATCCATGCTCAATACACGTAAGTAGGACATAATGAACTTGAGGTGCATTTCTTGCAAACAGAATAACTGCTGCAGTAGGTAACTTTTTGTCATATTTTCTGAAACTATATCCTGACAGTATCTTATGCTACAGATAATCAGTGACAAAATCAGGTGCCTAGATATATATGGGAATGTGTATATATAGTAATTTACATTACTACTGATGGAAGAGGTGAAGTATGGGCCCAATCTCACAATTCAGAAATTGGGATAAAACCCCCAAAGAAACTGTAACTTATTCTGTTTATTACCTCCAAATAATGCACGGTAGAACAGAGTTTTGTATATTCCCCCTACATGCCCAAATTTACAAAATAGTTGGTAATTATTGCTATATACAACATAATCCATATCATATAAAGCTCTCCTGGTGTGGAACAACTGGATTAGCAAACTATGTTGCTACAGTGTGAATCCCTCAACAGAGAAATTCAACTGGTAGAACATGTAAAAAATAAAGAATCTAAATGGTAGCCAAATCTGAACTAAATCCAGAGTGACAACTAGAGACTGAAAGAGGGCCACTGGAGATTATGAAAGTTTTGAAATAGATTTTCAGGGTTTTATGACCCTGTCTAGCAGCTACCCACAAGACAGGCTGATAAATAACCTGTGGACATCTGTATTTAATGGCACATGCTCATTTTATGTGCCATGTAAAAAATGTGACAGTATTGTGACTTGGCTGTTTTTGTAAATTTACATCAACATAACACATGGGGATGGGTAGACAAGGTAACGTTCACTGTTGTATGACCACTTTGTACCATAAACACCAGAACCATGAACACTATGTAGCTATGAACAGGCGAGTGTGATGGGCTGCTGGTGGACCAGCAGGTGGCGGGTTGATGCAACAACAAACAGAGTGACAGAGCTCAGACTGAGTAGGTGGTGGTCGGCCTCTCTATCAGGCCTCATCAGTGTCAGTCATCAGAGAGCAGGTGGAGCCAGTGGACTCCCAGCAGGAGGGAAGAGACCTTTGACCTCTGCCTGCTGTACAGACCCAGTACTAAGATATTAATCACTGGACTACATACACATGCAACCCCTCCCCCTGACTGGCAGATACACCGATATATTGTGTTGTTGTATGTAGTTTGTGTTGTATTTCAGTGGACAGTAGCCACAGTGGTTTTGCGTCATACCTACATTGTTAAGAATGTTGCAACTAACAGAATATGACATACAATGTAGCACAATACTGTATAGTTTTATACTCTGTAACCTAGTGTATGTGGTGCTTCTATTTAAAATCTTATGAATTACAATTAATTGAAATGTAATGATTGAAACAAAACTGGTGGATTATTAATACATCTGCATTGATCTGCGTCAAGTTGTACAATCTAGCAAAAGTAAAACCGGAAGTTGATTATGTTGCCTTCAGAATAAAACAGTGTGTGACTAATGAATAATCAAGTCTACTGTGTTTTCTACTGTACAAATCTGAAACAGTTCTAAAATAGATGATTCCTCACAGGATATCACAGATATACTGTAAATATTATTTGTCACGTCATTAAATGCATCTTCCTATTATACTTTTTTGTCCTTGGTGGCAATTATTTCTCTATGAGAAAATTTCTTTATGAGACATTGCCTCTTATTTCCAGAACTAACGTGTCAACCTCTGTCTTCCAATGGTGATAGATAAAGCCAATAAAATAAATAACCGTACAGTGTAACCAGTAGCAAAATGTAGATTAAATCTCATGATGCTAAAATGAAGTATGTTTGGTTAATATTGTTTGTGTGGGCTAAATTCCTGGGGATTTTCTGTTTGAAATCAGATCACTGTAGGATTATGTACAATATATTAATGTTAATGTGATCATGACAAAAATGTCCCGGCAAGGACTAACTCATTGTGTTAAAAATATTCATACAAAATAAGGTCAGAGGTAATGATTCTAGGGCCCCACAGTTGGAAAGGTCCAGATAAATTCCAGTCTATCCAGCCTATACCCTGATTTTATTGGGGGGAAAAGCATTTTGACTTACAAGTCTGACTGCTAAATTGATCACAGTAGGCATTCTGACTTTGAGGAGTAACCTACTTCAAGATTGCTAGAATTATGCGGAGTATACTTACTTTTCAAATGGACATTTCTCTGCTTGACTGTGCTCTGGTGTTGGTTAAAAAACCATTTGCTCTAATTGTGTCCTGTTGTTGGGCAGAAAGTCCATAAAATTGGTTTATATGCTGATGGTGCAGTAGTATTTATGTCAAACCCTACTGTATAAGATTACTTTTTAATGTAAAACAACACTCAATTTAGTGTTTTCCCTTGTTATAAAACAGATTTTTCCGAATCTGGAACTATGCCTCTTGGTCATATGTGTCAAACTCAAGGCCTGTGGGCAGAAACTGGCCTGCCACGTCATTTTATGTGGCCCGCGAGAGCTTGAAATGCGTATGGTTATCTTGAAATAAAGGTCTATCCTAATTTAAAGTGTACATTGACCATAAATTACATCTCCCACAATACACGTCGATTTCATGACCCACGAAGTGGCGGCCTCCCGCCACTAGATCGCTGTGTTTCCACTTCAGCGTTTAACAGGCGGTTTTCCAACAAGCGGAGATTAGAAATGTTAATTAATCCCAAAATGTCAAAGAAGAGAAAAAATGATGCAGAAGGAAGGCAATTTAATAAAAGATGGGAAAGCGAATATATGTTTGTGTTATGAGGCAGTGTCGTGGTGAAGGAGTACAATTTACGTAGGCATTTTGACACCAAACACAGAGATAAGTATCCTTAATTTAGCCTCCAAGAAAAACAACAATTCGCCCAAGAATTAAAAGGCAGACTGCAATCGCAACAGGAAATGTTCAAAAAAGCTACAGCCAAAAATTATGCAGCAGTAAAAGCTAGCTTTATTGTGGCTGAAGAAATCGCCTGAGCTTCGCAGTGTTTTTCAGATACAGACTTTTAAAAATGTCAGTTTGTCAAGAAACACCATTGCAGACTGAGTTATGGAACTCGCAGGAAATCTGACAAAACAGCTGGCCGAAGAGACACGCAGTTACCAGGCTTTTTCATTAGCTGCTGATGAATGAATTGATGAATATTAATCCTGTTTGGGCCGCAACTTAGACTATGTTTTGAATATTGGCCCCTTGTGTGATTGAGTTTGACACCCCTGCTCTAGGTGATCATCTTCAAATGCCTGACAAAAGTTTAAATATTTATATATATATTGCTTTTAAACAATATTATCTTAAATGTCTGATGATGTGATGATGTTCTGCCAAACGTGACGAGAAAAAAAAGGATTCTGTAAGTCATTATCAGCAAACTTTATCAAAGTATTGACTTAGTATCTCAAAATAATGACTTATAATTAGTATCTCAAAATAATGAGACACTTTCTAAATATTTTGAGTTATTATCTCAAAATTATGACATAATTACATACAGAATCCCTTTTTAATCCCCATCACATTGGCAGAAATGGTCTTCCATATATAAATGTGCTGCAGCCATAATCTTTACTACGTTTTTAGTTTATTTTGAAAGTCCTTGCCGGAACATTTTGTCGTATGTTGTGGCTGCCTTTACAGCGGCCCTCACACCATTCATTGACAAGGAGAAGGTGAATACAGCGTCTGGGGGACTTCTCTGTCTGTCTGCTGGCAACCTCATCGACTAACATCACCAACGCCCATAAAGTGGCAATATACAGGAAATGAACCGAGCTGCTAGAAGAAGAGCCGTCTTTTCCCGTTAAGTCTGACCGGCTCAATTGTACAAGTGCGGTGGTCGTGATTTTGGAGTGAAGCATATTGTATAACGTTATCAGTTATAGTTCTCTCATGCATTACATCAACTGTTTAAGTTAGCTGCTTTATTACTGCGTAGCTAGCCCTCCCTGTTCTGGACTGATACAACGTTTACTTCGACTGTTTGATTCCTGTCCACCCGAAAAATGGCAACCCAAATCGATAAAGAGGCTTGCAGAGAGGCTTACAACCAAGTCAGAGACGATAACACGGACGCCAATTGGTGAGTGTGCAGACATGGTTCCTTAACCATACTCCGTTCAAGAATGTGACTATTATATATATATATACTGCATTGGATATTTGCAAAAGTAAATGTGTCGTAGATATAACCCAGGACCTCGTTGGAATATAGATAACTCACTAGCCATTATTGACTTCGGCAACCATATAATATATCAAACAACCTGTTTTTCGAGCCAATCTCAATAAAAAAAATGTAATTCACAGAACCTGTTACCGCCCACTGCGCCGTCTTTTCGGTGCTGAGGGGTACGAAATGAAAAGCGGACCTTTTATTAAAGTTTAAATTTTATTTAAATAAGCGCAGTTTTGCTAACTGGATGTGCGCCGAATTGAAGATAGATACATAAAGACGTAGTGGATGTAATGAGCGGCATCTTGTGCCACGTCAACCACTGCCTTTAGCCGAGATAAGTTGAAATTGCTCAATATTTAGAAGTAGTTCAACCTGCTTTCAAAGAATACGCACTGGAATGGCACACTTGGGGTTTGCCGGCAATTGAGACCTTCGTGAATTGTTTCACACTTGATACGTGGTTCCAGTGCTTGTTCTTATAACAATAGTGGCTAAAATACACGCAGCTCTGTGTGTTGGCTGATCTGATCTGTATTCTGGCTATTTAGCGGTCACACGCGGCACAGTTATCAGGCCCAGCGGGGCAGAAGTAATTTCCTTTGTCCTGTATTCAGAGGATAACGTTATAGTAGTGGCACTCACATGGATGACACACAGCTACCACCTTGCATGGGCGTCTTGGGCATTTTGTGCATTGCTTCAGATTGCAAAATGGGTCTGATGTGCACACAACGCCATTGTTGTGAATCAACAGCTCATGAGACTGCATAATCCATAACGCACTGTGTGTTCTGCATCTTCCAGGGCTGCGTTTAAATATGAGGGCTCTAGGATCGTGCCTGCAGGACAAGGCTCTGACTATGAGGACTTCAAGAGGATGTGCACAGGTAGATTTTATTTAAAACCTAGTTGTTAAATAAGCCTTATCAGTGTAATGTTTCTCCCTGCTGCTGACTAGTCTAGATTTTGTAGTATATGTGTGTCTCTGTCTCTGGATTGGTTAAACAGCCTATATGCCACACAGCTTGACTTGGCAGGACACTAATCTTTTAAGACTCTGTGCTCTGTCACCCATTGGCCTTGAGCCCTGTAACTACGCTGTCGAAGCACTTAACACTGTATGCATTACATTGCATAATCTGTTCAACTATGTCCTGCATGTGTATTTTTTTTTTTTTTTACAAGGTGAAATATTTAAGGTCAGGCTTTTGTATGTCTTTGCAAGTTTTTTTTCTGAATTGCAACAGAAAGATGTTGTTCTCCAGCTACACCATAAGTTATTTTAACTCAAAAAAATTGTTAAAACGGATAACATAAAAATGTAAGGAACTCAATTTTATAAGATAAAAAGACTCTTGATTAAGCTAGTCATTTTAAGTGACAGTGACTTAGTTTTATAAGTTATAGAAACATTTCTGATTAAGTACTTTTTACTAGGTATTTGTTTTCACTGAACACATAAAAATTACGAAATAAAGTCAGTATCACTTAAAATGACTAAAGTTACTTGGTCAAGAATGTTTTTCAACTTACAAAATTAAGTTAGTTTTACTTAAATTTTTTGATGTAACTAGTTTAAACAATTTTTGAGTTGTCTTTTTTTAGTTAAATAAACGTATTTATTTATAGTTTAAAATTTTTACCTGTCACTTCCTCTGAACACAAAAACCGCTCTTACTGAAGCACCTGCATGCAGTGGGATTACAAAAATACAGTTATAAACGTTTTCTTGTCTGATTGTGTGTCTTTTTTAATGAAGGATCATTTATTGGCTGCACAGCACAGTGATTAGCAGTATCTGTTTGCATGGAGCTCACAAAAAAAGAGATAAATAGCAAAAAGAAAGTCAAGTAAGGACTTTCAGATGATGTTTCTCAGAGATAACTAATAGTTGCTGGCTGCATGTAGAGAAAACAAAATCTCACATTTGGGATGTTAGTTCCTCTAGAGTAAAGCATCTGCTCAGATGTTGGGTGTGGCTGTTTCTGATGCTTGCTCTTGTTGTCTTTAAAGCTTTCTGCCTCAGGGCTGTACTCCTGTTTTTTTTTCTCTTCCTGACAGTTCAGGGCTCACATTCCTATGTTGAAATAACTCATTTATCGCCATGCTTTACAATAGTTGAGCAGCTGGTGCTATTGGTTCCTGTTCAGAGATGACACACACATTATCAGACATCTTTCTGCGTGTGGGTTTGTTTTCCTTATTTAGCAGTGCAGTTGTTACTCTGCAGAGAAAGAAAAAACCCCTTTGAGTGTAGGAGGAGCTGATGCAGACTGATCGTGCGGGGAGGCGCAAAGAGAAGGGCCACTTTTTGAATAGTGATCTTAACTTATCCAGTCTCAGGAAGTAAAAATACATATCATTTAATTTGCAACCAGGGGTTTTAAACCTGATTTCTGCTGACAAAATGTAGCAACAACCAATAACTTATTTAGTCAGTTTCATAAATTATTCATTGTAGGTCAGCAAACCATCAGCTAAAGGGGAAATTCAGTCCTCAGTGTCCAATGGGAAGGTGTTTCTCAAAATCTACAAATCTATCTAGTCTNNAGACTAGATAGATTTGTAGATTTTTTAGCCACGTTAGCGACATATCTGTATGGATGGCAATGTTGGTCAGTCCATCCAGACTGAAATTGATCTCCAGCTATTGGATGAATCACCACGATTAATGATGAATAATGAATAATGAATAATTCTTTTTAAATAGATCCACATCTAATGGATCTGCAACATTTTCTGCAGACATTCATAGTCCCCAGAGGATGAATCTGACTGTTCCTCATGTGCAGGGGATCATTTACGATCCAAAGGGCCATTTTTGGCCAAAAATAAATCTTTCACCACTCACCATTTTTGGTTTTGACAACTAAATTGCCATGAAATTCGGTTCATATATTCAAGACGCCCATGATAAACCACTCTTTATTGATCTTCTTTTTTCATGTAATGCCACCAGCAGGTCGCAGTGTACACCAGAGTGTATCTGAACATGTATTTGATGGATTGGGTTCCAGACATATGGATATGGTTCCCAGACAATGTATCTTCAATGTCTTCACTCATTCCCTCACTTGCGCCACCTTGAGGTTTTTAACTCAGATTACCATGAACTTTGGTGCAGACAACATGAACCTAGCTACCTGGTACCATTTGCATGTGATTCAATCAAGGTCATGGATATGCATAATGGCAATGGCTCTGATGCTGCACTTTCAAATCTGTCCTGCTGCCTTCAGATGCCTGTAGGAATCTGATGAACTGAAGGAGAAACTGTTCAGATAGCATAAAGCAGCCGTACGACATATTCATTTATAGATGAATGCAGACTGATGATTTACTGTCATTTCTGCTTTAACCACATTCAACCATATTTTTGATGCATCTATTGGCAGGAGTTATTAAATTATATTTATGTAAAAGTGAAAATCTTGGCCTAATGGTGGCAGTAGAAGAAAAGTCAGAGGGTCACCCAAACCAAAGTGTTGCTGAAGGGGCAAGTTTTTACCCGAGGGTGGAACCTATAAAAAATCTGGGTGGCACCAAAATCGATTTTTAGGGATCTGCACCAAATTGAATGGCATCACCTTCCTCAGGCCCTGCTGTTAGCTTAGATAAAAACAAGAGCAAGCTTGGACTCAGTTAACACATTGGTAACACCACTCCTGGCCAAACCCTCCTGACACCGTTCACAGGAGACAGCTCTTGTTTCCAGGCTGTGTTGCAGACGGACTGAGCGTGGGCTGAGGGAGCACACGCAGGAAGATACAGTGTCACCTGTCAACCTTTGGTGTGTGCTCACATGAAGTCAATTTATGCAGAACAATGTCCCTCCCAATAAGACTTTTTTTGGCTGTCTCATCACTGTTGTAGTTTCAGTGCAGTTGTCTCTGCGGTGGGGTGGGGGAGGCTGGCTGCCGAGTCAGCATTGCTTTAAAGGGAAGACAAACCAGGAAGAGTCTGGCAGAGGGAGGAAGTGTGGGTGTGTGGTTGGGGTAAGGGTATGTGTTGTGCTGGTTCCTCCCTGGCATGTGTCACAGACACAAACTAGTGATGTCCTTTGTAGCTGCACTGACTCTTTACAGTGGTTGCTCCTATTAATGGTGATAATGTGCGGCTGATCTGAAAACAGTGCTGCTAAGGCTCTGCCAGGAAAGTCTTTATCAGCGGCTACAATAGGTATATAAAGATAATACAGGTTGCACTGTAAAAACTCTGCTTTTCAGAATTGAAGTGTCTTAATTTAGAATCCTAAAGTGAGTATATTCCTAGGTTGAATTGTACTTGAGCTAGCTTGAATTAAAGCTACAACTAAAAAAAAAAACAACTAAAAAAACATTTGGGATCAACTGGATACTTCTATTGTACACATGAGGGTCCGTTTACTTTCCATGTCCGACTCCTGTCGCCTGTGAAAACGAGACATTATACAACATAATGTCTCAGACAATAACCCTGATGGTCTCATCAGGTAGGGTCTAACGGCACGTCCCATTTACCTTGGAAATTGGAGCTGAGAATGACGTCACACCCGGATCAACCACGTTCCAGTACAAATGGGAAAACCAAGCTATAGCCAGGTTAGCCATTGTTAGCAATAACAGTTAACAACACATTACACAGTATTTTGGTCATACAAACATGTCCACAGACAAATGTTGGACACTACTGTGTGCATGACTTATTTAATGAAAAATAAAAGACAGAAGTGCTAATAAACAGTAAATTACAACAACTGTCACTTAGTTGATGGCCAGGGTAGCCATCTTGAATTTTTAGGTTGGGGTTGGCAAGGTTCTTCTGATTTTCTGACATCAGGGGTTATTTCAGTCAAAATGTCTTAATGGTGCATTATATTTGAATTCCCACTTCCCAATTCATCTGGAATGCACCGTTATAAAAGATGCTTTTGAGTTGCATTATGGGAATTGTAGGACTACAGTGTTTTGGAGCTTGACTAAAAGTCAGGGTTGTTTTTGGTGCATTCCATTTGAGTCAGAATCTCTGCTTCCCAGTCAGAAATTTCAACTGGAATGTCCCCTGAAGTCGGATTCACTAGGAACATTGGAACAACCTCACTAACCTTGACCTCAAAATCCAAGGTGGCTGCTATGCATGTCAACTAAGTGAAAACTGTAGTAATAATCTTTTTAATAGCACTTCTGTATTTTGTTTCTCATTAAATCAGTCGTACACAGTATACTGTGGACATGTTTGTATCTGAGGTAAATAGAATGCACCATTTTTTTATTAACCTATTATTTTGTGTCAGAGCAATACTGAATTACTTGATTGCCCATACAGTATATTAAAAGGGCCATCCACTGTTTTTATACCTCAGCGTCAGTTTACACTTCAACTGTTGCTGGCTGCAGCGTCTACTTTGGCTCTGGAGGAGGTTTTTTAAGTCTGCGGTTACAAACTAGGGATGTGGAGTTTGCAAGATGTGGACATTTACCAAGCAGGATGGGTCTAAAGAAAGATGCCATTAAGTTGAATAATGGGATGTAAAGGATCCAGTGTTTCTGACAGTCAATCTTGGCCTCTCAATGGAATGCCCCTCATTTAATCAATAAAATGTCTTCTAATTTGAAGCCTTAAAACACTAAAGTCACACAAATGACACAAACAAACTAACCGATGGAGGAAGCAGTAGACCAGCAACTCCTGTGTTCTGCAAGGTTAAATTCTGTTTTTGTCAATGGAGTCTGGTGCCTTTGAACAAAGCAACAAAATAGCTGTTTCTGGTTAAACGAAAAGGATCTAACTCTTACTCAACAAAAAAGGTCTGTTTCTGTAGGGAACCTTTTCATAATGTTGTAGACACTTGTAATAAAAATCTGAGCCTGTCAGAACATCCTTTAAACAATTAACTGAGTATTAAAAGTAAAAGGTTTACTATCAAGTCATCAATGAATTGTGTGATAATGTCGGCAATAGTCTGAGTATAGCTGCTTTTTCATGCATGTATTTTACATTAGTCTGACACCAGTGGAAACAAGCCAGTCATGATAAATACTGTCACCCACTTCCACCCCTCCGAGCAGTGCTCCTGTCTCCCAGACTGGCTGGTGTGTGATGCTATCGCAGTCCCAGTCAGTGGGGATGGGATGCTCCTCACTGTTGCTGCTCCCCTTCGAGTTTTTGGGTGATGTTAAATAAAAATGCTGCCTGGTGGAGCTTTAAAAGTGTCAGTCAAGGGCGCACTGCAGGGAAACTGACTTCTGGTCAATTTATTTGATAGAGTCAGATGCCTGAACCAGTCATCAGTCACTTACATCTAGATTTTGTTAACCCAGTAAGAATGTTAATTTCATGTGTATCAGCTCTGCCAGACTGTTCTGTTGAAGACTCAGGGACGTTGTATTCACAGAGGCAGGAACATCTGGAAGACAATAATGAGTAATCTGATTCATGTTATTGTTACATAATGACGCCTGAAGTCAGCAGACAAGACAGCCCGAGTGCATTTGTGAAAAGGGAGATCTGTGTGAGAAATAAACTTCACTGATTCTATTTACTTCATGCACAAACTAGTTATGCAACTTCATGAGTAGCCTATGTTTCTCAACTCACTGTACCTCTGGATTTGGTACCTCATCTGGTTGTGCAGTTTTTTTTGTGTGTGTGCCTGGCGTAGTGGGAATATATAGTTTTTATTGAGACTATCTCGTGTGAAACTACCTAGCTGAGTGTGTTTTCTGCCTGCCAATAGACTGTTGAATGAATGAGTCCTAAAACCCGGAAATGAGATAGCATTTTGGCACTTCCAGTTCCTTTGCTTCAAAGTCGATGGTTTTTCTTTTTTCTTTTTTTTCTCTCTCTCTCTCTTTTTTTTTTTTATGGGTTTTTGGTTAGATGACTGAAATAAGGTCTGTGGTTAACACAAGCCTAAAGATCCCCTCCAGTCATGTATTAAGTGATATATATAAAAAAATTTCTGCTTGGAACAATAATGTGCGTAATATGTTTTTCCCACACAAAAAAGTATAATTTCAGCACTAAAATTTTTTTAAAAGGCATTTTTTCCTTCTAACTCATAAAAAATATCACAATATATGCAAATATGTGGTGGCTTTAAGTTTCTACGTATCACTTTGTATTCACAAATAATTGAAAAGCCAGTGTATTAAATGCTATTTTATTAGCATTTGAGAAATGTGTTACCAATACTACCAGTGAAGGACTAAAGGGGTCTGAGCTGTAAAGATTAAGATCCTAACTCACAGACTTAAAGCTGCAGTAGGTAATTTTTATAAAAAATACATTTGTGTCATATTTGTAGAAACTTTCACTCACCGGTATATCCTGACAGATTGGCTGTTGTCATTCAGGCCCGGTGGATTCTTGCAATCAGGATTAGTAGAGCTAGAACGAGGCAGAGGAACCTGATTGTTTCACAGA